AGAAGGCAGAGACGCAGACGAGTCAGCGGACGAGTCGCAGCGCGTATTGTGCGATGTAGGACGTACTATAGTACATTCTATTTAACTTGACGCTAAATCGCTACAGTACGCGCTGCGACTCGTCCGCTGACCCATCTGCGTCCCTGCCTTCTTGCCGCGCGACGGGCCTCCTGTCGGGTACCTTATGAATCACTATTGCTGCATTGCACGTGTCCAAACTGGGCTGTCAGCAAGGTGAAGTACGGTCGAGGTTTTCCCAATACATTGTTGTATTTGCCTCAGTGGAAAGAAAGTAATCGTATTGGGATTCTGGGGTATATTAGATAGGAACAGTGGAGATAGGTGGGAAGGTAAAATCGGGTGTTGATCATATCTTAAATACCCCTCCCACTAGACAGGCAATTTGGAAAGAGTTTTGGTATGGAACAGCGTTCTCGGGGTGGACTAGGTTCAATGACACCAGTGACACTTTTGGCAGAAGGGGTTCATGTTTTATGGGGGGACTGTTGTGGTACTGGCGTGGCCATCTCCTCAATACGATTTTTACCCTGGTTACCAGTGCAGCACTGCGTTGTAGGATTGCGCCACTCACCAGGACATCAATCATTTGCTATTGTTCATGGGTTGTGCTATTCAGTGCTACTGCTGCGCTGTTCAGTGCTGTTCTCAGAATAAAGGGCTAGATTTTTAGGAATGGTCGGCTTGCCGATGAACGTGCTCAGCTTTCAGCACAGAATGCTGCACTTTATCACGAGTACGATAGAATTTGGGAGGTTCGCATACGCAACTTTGCCTTTCAGTTTCGGAGGCACAGAAGAACGTTTTTAGGAAATCGATCGGGTCCGACTTGAGTTGGCCGAGTACCAGGCAAGAGAGGAGCGACTCAACGCCGAGAAGGAATTCCTGATGAAGTGTGATCGTGAATTTTTGCTCCAACGGATCATCATGTGGCCATGCTTTGTTTCAGGGTTCAAGAACGTGAAGTGCACGAGATCAACACTCTTCTAGCAGAGTCCTCTTTCGATGCGAAGAAGTTCTTCGAAGCCGATATTGCAAACGCCATCAGGTTAATGCACCTACCCGGCAAGGCATTCAGCTTTACATAATACCAATCAATTGGTTGCCTTTACAGAGACATCAAACTCGAATACGAAGCCTCCCATAAACTCATCCGTACCAGAGTCACCTCCTATTATCATCAGAAGGTTCTTAAAACTACGATTGATATCGATATTTTGAGGACAAGATCTCTAATAGCTGCAAATTTAGGCCGAAGAAATGCGCAGAATCGCTGAGGCAAGAGGCGCCGACGAAATGAAGCATCGACTAGCTCAGATTGCAAAGATGGAGGGCACAATCGGTGACCTCAGAACCAAGTTCCGTCCTCTTGAGGACCGAAACCACCTTCTGGAGAAGGAGTACAGCCAACTCCAAAACTCGGTGAGATTCACTAATTAAACACTTCAGACGCGTCAGCTACTAAGATGGATAGTTAGTGAGAGAGAACTAGCCAATAGTGGACTAATAGCAGATCTAAGTATTGACATCATATCTGTCATATGACAGCTCAGCTTACCCTTGCCGAGTTGAGCTTGCTGGTCAATGTATCCATTGAAAGCCGAACTCTTTGAAGGAGGATTCCACGATAGGGTGGGAGGTTCGGAGCAGGGAAATACACCTACACAAAAGGCAGGCGGGCCCTCTGAGAGTGCGTGGCGATGCGCGTTTTGGAGCAAGGGGCATACCCCAGCGGCCTAGCGGCGACATACTACGAGCCCTCGCGCAGCGGCACGCCCACCCTCTCGCCGTCTGACTCTAATCCGTTTAGCAGAGAGAGCGTTAGCGTTGAAGAGGACAGCACTGATGAGGGTTGCACCGAGCGTGAATCAAGGGCAACAAAGCAAGCAAATTTCTCGTGTTCTTGGGTCGTTTCTGATGGTTGTTTTCTTCATAACTGACCACCTCTAAGTTTATTTCTGATGGGCTCTTTTGATCATGAAATCCGTCTCCCCGCTCCCCAAAAATGATAGATGGCTTTTTGACACAGTTAGCAAAATGATTTGGTGCTATCAGCCTTGCAGAGAGCCTAAATTGGCTAGCATTTCCTTGCCCACATTCAGCATCTCAGATACAACGGTGCCATAATTTCAACATTATTTCACTTCCGAAGAGCAAGGCCATATGTAACATGAACATCCAACGCGTCGGTTAAGGGTCAAGCTGAAAGGTAAGAAATGCGAATCGCAGAAATATGTTTGCGCCTTATGTTACGCGAATCGCACGAGGTCTCCCTTTCAGCAGCTACCACGTTTATTCCACATCGCATAGGCACAGCACGACCTACCAAATTGCACTTCCTAATCTTCCTTCTTCTACACGGAGCGCGGCATGTCCAGAAATGTAGTATGCATTACGAGGTGAGAGTAGCGCATTTGGGATCGTACAGTAATGGGAAGTGAATGACCACCCTTGCATCCTCCTATACCGAAAGGGGTAAGTATGCACTGGAATAACCTCCCTTTCGAGCCAATGCGATTTCAAAACCTCGGCACAAACGTTGAGTTAGCGGTGTAGTTCGTGAAAAAGGTTGGAGGCCTTTTGATGACTGTTTCATTTTCAGATTAGAACCGACGAGGAACGTTACGAAAGAGAGAAGCGACGTCGTGATGATGAATACAGGAATGCGCTCGCAATGTACCAACGCCTGGTGTGTTTGCCCTTCCTCACATTTCCAGAGAAACTTCAACGAGCAATATGTCAGATTGCCTTTATAATGACTCTCAGGGCGCCGAAAATGCCCTTCTTCCAGTTTCGTTATACTAATAATAATAATCCAAATTGGGTTTCATGAAAACTTGAGCTTGACAGGGGAACTTCAATTGAAGGAATCCTTCGCGGAAAATTCTTGCATTCTTTCTTGACATGAATGTGTCAGTTGTGATCACTGGAAACAGCACACAAAGTTTCACGCATGAAGATTCGGTTTCCGAAGAGAAACAAACGTACAAAAACTACACTCTATGGACAATCGAAGGTAATTCGGGCGGAGCCAAACGAGGCATGGAAAGAAGTTGGCCTTTGGCCGGCT